GGCAATAAATTTTGTTGTTGGGGTTTTGTTTTTTGGTGTTTTTTTTTTTTTTTCTATTTTGTGTGGGTGTTTTAATAAGGTGAGGCCGCCCGCCTGTCGAGTGGGTGGTAGACAAGTCCCAGAGTCCAGAAAGGGCACAGACTCGGGATGTACAGGCATCCTGTAGCCAACAGTGGATAAAGGAAACAGGGGAGAGCAAAGATGTCTGCGAGATAAGAGCGTAGATGTGTGAGTTCTCTCGGTGGCCTGGCTGTGTTTGGAACTAAACTAGCTGGGTTAAAAAAAAACAAACAAACAAACAAAAAACCCCAGTGTTAGATTTCACACAGATTAGCCTATTTCACTTCAGGCATCTGTTATTCTTTACTTCTTACCAGGATATAGGAGGGACTGTTACAGGTTTGGGATAAAAGGGTCTGTAACTGCTTTTAAAGGGAGCCTTGGCAGCTTCTGTTGTCTCAAGGGTTGAGGGCAGTTTAGAAAAAACATCTTTTCAACTATATAAGTATGTAAGTTTTTTAATTTGAGCTTCAGTTTACTCTGTTGTAGACTTTATAGGATGAAAGAATAGCCACATTTCCTTTACAGATTTGAACTTTTGCAGGGTCCTTAAATTTGACTTCTAACTTGTTGCTTATCAGATTTATACCTATGAGGAACAGAATATGCAGATAGCAGTGATGTCATTTTTCCACCAATTAATATGAACCCAACATACAGACATAAATTTGTAATGTTGGTATCCTAAGACAGAAAATGCTGGAATAAAAGTTTGCAGGATAGTTTCCGCATGGAGTCATGCAAAGCACATGTTTCGTTATACAGGGGCTACAGACCTTGTTGTACCATAATCCATAATTGCACTTCCTGGCCTATGATGAAGCATAAATTAGCAAAGTTTTTACAGGAAGAAAATTGTAATGTTTGAAAGGTGAATCACAGGAAAATTGGCTTCTATTACATAGGTATGTTACCAGCAACTTGAAGATGGTTAGAAATGAGAATAGCAGATATATGTCTGTGGGTCTGAACATCAGAAGATAATGATTTACATATTACTTTTCAGTGTAAGGGGGAAAAAAACCCGTGTGACTCATGCTGGTGAAATTGGAACATTTACAAAATGTTGTGTTATTGGCATCTTTTTGTTCAACATGACTTTGGAACTGCTTACTGCGAGTCTAATTAGTTGCCTTGGATTTTTTTTTCTGTGTGATAGCTATAAATCTATACATTAAATACATCTTTTTTTTTAAGACAAGAAAATGAAATTAATCAGACATAATCCTAAACATGTTTCTCTTTAGGCCAATACAGAAATATCTGAGGGTTCAGCCTCAGCTTTCACAAGAACACAGAATGGGTCTCTGACTCACATGGATGGTGATCTGTAAAAGTTAGACAGAAAATACAGGTCTGAGTATGTCTCCCACTAATTAACTCCCTTTATCTCCTCCCCTTCTTTCTAGTTTTTCCACATCTGTTACCCATTGCTTTTATCTCATTCTTACCCTAATTTAAATGATTGGCATGATTAGCAATATTAGATGCCACTTCAGCTGATTAGTAAAATACATTGTTTCATTGCTCAGGATAGGAAATGTAAAATGGAAAGTATTTCAGAAACAAAGGAGCCTCTTTTTCATTGCACAGTGTTAATACAATTGCAATCATAGACAAACACCAAATATCTTAAGGTAATTAAGTTTCCCACAATCTTGTATTTAACTTTTATTAAACCTGTTTGTGACATATGTGCATTTACAAAATAGGCCCATCCCCAAAGAAAGATCACTATGCTAAATAGCCTGCATATACTGCTGTCTGTCTCTCTGCAAAAATGAAGTTCTGCATCCAGCTTTTCTATGGACGTGAAGACAGCAGTATGAATGAATATTGTCACTGAACTTCAGTTTGCAATAAAACAGGAACAAATTCCACGGAATTGATGGAAGTTATACTGAAACCTTTCTGCATAAAGTACTATTTCCTTTGAATTTTCAGTGTTCGTAAGAAGTAGTCCTTTAATACTTTAGAAGGGGAGTTGTGGGTGCTTTTGGTTGTTTGGGATTTACTTAAACTGAAATTTGCTGTAAAAATTTTGTATGGGCAGGAAGAGGAAGCAGCAATAACAGCAACTGGCTTGCAGCCCAAATGCAAAGTAAAAAGCAGTAGTTGCCAACAAGAGCCCTGGGATTGTCTTACAACCACCAAACCATCTCGTGGGGGA